CTGCTGAAGCATATAATTCTTTATAAATGCATGCATGTATATCTCTATATGTGTGTGTGAAGAAATAAGGAAGGCACAACTTTTGTTGTGTGGGCGCGTGTTTTAAAATGGAAAGTATTGCCCAACTTTGAAAGATCAATTACAGATAGCGGGATGTTTTATGTCTTTTTACCTTTAGAATTTTTCCATTATTTGAATAAATTTGAATGAAAAGCTTACATATGGGGCTTTCATAATTGGGTGCCAATTTATGATAGTTTTCTGTACTAGTTGTTTATTTACAAAAATAAATTATAAATAATGGGCCGAATGTAATTATCTAGCATGCACTTCCTAAGTCATTACGAAGTTGTTTGTGGACTATATATGCAATAACTTGATTGTAATCACACTACCCTTTTAGCAAATATTTGAACTTTATATTGTTCTAATTTTTCATGGTTGGTACTGTTGTACTGTTTTATTTTGTTTAGCTTTCATTTTAAAAGAATAAAACTTCGATTAAGTTAGTAAAAAAATATTAATGACTTTCAATTTCAATTAAGAACGACATATATATATATATATAACGATAAGAATATGAGAAAATTTGTAATTTTATTTTTGTATGTAGTAGATATATATGGGGAACGAGGACTATTATCGATTCCATATTCAACAAATCTAATATATGTGGATTTGTTCTTCTTTTTAATTAAGTTAAGTACGTTGATGATTTGTTCTCCGTATTCCACTAAGTCAAGTATACAAAGTCAAACATATCAGTAGTAACGCATTGAAGTTATATGTTCTCTTTTTCGTATTAATAATATTGATTTCCACTGTGGGTTTGTATATGTGGCATAAACTAAAGAACAGGTCTGTGAGGCTGTCCCGAAATATTTAAAAATTGGGACTTTATTTTTTCTTATGGTTTTGGAAATACTTGGGGAGATCGGAAACCAACTTCCAGACACGAATGAAACTACGCAATCACTTGTAAGTTGATCTTCTCGATATAAGATTCATTTCAGTGTTGGGTCTAATTCCCATCTGTCTGTTTGCAGATATATGTGGGCTGGTCTCAATTACCACACTTTATTTTTAGGTGACGTTGCCTCACTCGGTTTATCCGCGTATAAATAATACAATACGATTTATACTTATTTCAAATGTAGGTCTATTAATTCTACGAGATTATGATAATTGAAATATAAAAGGATGAAAAACTAACTTCATTACAAATTAAAAGTAGTAAGTTATCACACGAATTAGTTAAAATAACTTGGGAAACAATTAAAGTAACACAAATCAATAAAATTAATAGGTAATAGAATATTTAGGACTGTACAAATAGTAAAATTGCGAGCGAAACATTACATGTTAGTCCTAATAAGTATATCCCTTACGAAATTAATAGAAATGCTAACACCATTTTGTTAACACAACGAAAAAGAATTAAAATACACTTATTATAAATGTATATCTAGCAACTCTATGATATAACGATAGCTTTATGATAATTACCTCACCTGTAAGGGAGAAAACCCCTAGCCATATATATATATATAT